CCACGGAGGAGGTGGCATTCAGCTGGGTTTTTTGAGGATGAAAGACACAGAAATAAGGAGAAGGGCACTCCAAGCAGAGGGAACAGTGTGGAAAAGACCTGAAGCCAGGAAAAGGGGCACATACATGATTGGACAGTGATGGTACACGGAATGGCCGGAGTGAAGGGGAAGGGGAGGCTGGGAAAGGGAGTGGGGAGAGAGGAGGCCCAGCATCAGGAGGATTAGGGGCTGGTTTTGAAGGGCCCCAAGGCCACGAGGAAGGCGGAACTTTATCCCATGGCAGAGAGGAACCAATGGAGGTTTTTCGGTTGGACAGTGACCCGCTAGGACTTGTGTTTTGGAAGAAGCTCTCCGGCTGAGTATAGCAAGGGTGGTGTCCCAGGGACAAAGTCAGGGAGATCAGGAGAGGGCCCTGGGTCATCCTGAAGAACACCAATGGCGGCCTGACTGCTGCGATGGCACTGAGGGTGGGAGAAGAGGGGCAGCGCCCACAGGGAGGGCGACGGGCCGGATGCGGGGCTCAGGGGCCGGGAGAAGTCCAGGTCAAGTCGAGGTTTCCGGATCCCACTGGCCAGGACAGAAAAGCAGGTTTTCAGGAGAAAATGTGGAGGAGCTCAGTTGGGGGTCTGTTTGGGTTGGGTTATCTGTGGAGTACCAAGGGGGAGATGGGAATCCGAGAGGCAGGGCTGCCCAAGGTCGTCAGGGTCAATGTCATCTCTGGGTCTGGAATGCAGGCTTGCCCCTACCTATCCCCACCCCACCTTCCCAGGCCTGTGCTTCCTCCTCCTGCCTCTGTAGTGGCCTCCAGGCATACCCTTCCCATCCCGGCCTCCATGCCTTTTCTCCTGCTGTTCCTTTGCCCAGAATTCCCTCCCTTCCTCTGTACAAATCCCGCCCATCCCTCAGGTTCCAGCTGGAGTCCCAGCCCACCCCGGTGCCTGCAGTAAAGACCCAGGGTCAGAGGCGGCTGGGGTGTAAGGGAGAGGTGGTGACTGCGACAGCAAGTGCAGGGGTCTGATTCACAGCCCAAGCTGCTGCAAGCTGGCTGTGTGACATGGGATAGGTCACTTTCCCTCTCCGGGCCTCAGTTTCCTACCCCTTCCAAGGAGAATAAAGGAAGACCCTTGTCCCCAGGGAGCTCACAGTCTAGAAAGGGTCATAAGGTAAAACCTGACCAGTGACTTCAGGGGTGTATCAACAGCCTTGACTCTGCACCTGAGAAGAAGCTTATGGAGAAAGCCTTGAAGAATGGATAAAATTACAACCAGTAGAGATCGAGGCAGGGGAGAGCACCCCCGGCAGAGGAAACAGCCTGTGCTGGGAGGCAGAAAGTTCGGGGGGTGTTCGAGGAAGAATGAATGTCTAGATTCTGGTTTCTTTCTGAGTCAACAGCTCGGATGCTTTTTGTAAGCTGGCAGCCCAAGCCAGGCAGCCTCCAGTAAACACCTGTTTACACAATCGAGGTCATGCACAGGGACGTGTTTGCACAATGACCTGTTTGCACAATCTCAGCCGACAGAGTATCCCAGCCAGGCCAACCCCTGCTGGATGAGCACAGCCACCACTTCCGGATACTCACCCTGGCTGACCCACCCCGCCCTGCCCTGGCCCGGCCCCCTCCAGAACAGGCACCCCCCCCCCCTTGACCCACCCAGCAGCCCCACACGTCAGGGCAATAACAGAAACTGAAACGATCTGACCCTCAGCAGGGCTGCTGAGAATGGGGCTCCCTCCCCAGGGCTCTCTGTGGGGTTTCCAGCCCACAGAGGACACCCTGTCCAACGGAGGAGGGGGTGGGGCAGAAGAGGTGGAGGAGGAAGTATCCAGACTGGAGGGGTGTGGAGGGGATGACTCCACATCCGCCTCCTGCTTTTCAGCTCACCGGAGTAAACATTTATTGAGCATTTACTATGTGCCTGGCTCTGTTCCACGGGGCCTCACGTGCATAATGTCACCGATTTCTCCCAAGAATCCCATGAAGCGGGTTTTATTATTATCGTCATTTTAAAAATGATGAAACGGAGGCTCAGAGAGGTTGAACAACTTGCTCAGGGTCACACAGCTCGTATGTGGCAAACCCAAGCAGACTGGCTCCTTCGCCTCTGCTCTTAACCTTTCTACATACTAATGACGCTCCCTTTAAAAAGTTCTTCCTTACATCTAACTTTCACTTGAGCTGCTGCAGCTCCATTTCCTGGTGCAGGTCAGCAGTGGAGAATGAAGCACAGATGAGATCAGTAAAATTTCGTTCTGAAATATTGAACTATGTATGCAGGGGGTACAAAAGAAAGACTTTTATTGAACACCTATTATATGCTGGTGCGTGTGCAAGGCTCCCGTAGCTCACTGAATTCTCACAAAACCCGCAGGAGGAGTTATTATCCCTGTGGCAGATAAGGAAATGGCTTAGAGAGGGCAAACAACTTCTCCAAGATTCCGCAGTCCAGTAGCCATGCACTGAGAATCCCCCGTGTGGCCTGCACTGTGCGGAGGCTGGAGGCAGAGATGAGAATATGGTTTCTGCCTTCCGGGAGTTCACAGTCTAGTGGAGGAGGCAGACAGCCCAGGCCCACTGCAGGCTCACGGGAAGGACGCTCAGCGCAGGCTGGATGTCTGAGCTGTGACAGAGGCAAGACTGGCTAGCCTGGCCGGAGGTGATGGGATCAGCAAGAACAGTGTTCCAGAGCCTGAGGCAGGTAGGGAAACAAGCAAATTCCGCATGAAAAGCATGACTAGAGCATGAAGTGTCCACCTGGGGAGATGGAGGCAGATAAGGCAGCAGAGGGAGGCAGGGCTGGAGGAGCCCAGCGGGCAAGCTGGCACATCCAGGCGAAGGACGCGGAGACCTGACAAAGGCAAGGAGGGGAGATGGACTCACGAGGTGGACAAGATAGAGCTCCATTAAGGCAGGACCAGAGCTGCTTTTGCACATCACTGTACCCCTGCACCTGCTCTAGGCCATGCTTTCTGAATGGTGAACAAAAAGGCCCACCCGTTCTCCTTCATTCTGAACTGACTGGATGTGGAGTATGGAGAAGAGGTGTGAGGAATGACTCCTGGGCCCCTGGACTTGGGGGGATGGGGATAGTGGGCTAATTTACCAAGGTGAAGAGCGTGGGGGTTGGGAACAGGTTTGGTGAAGTAAAGGAAGGTTCATCCAGTCAATCCATTCATTCAACAAATATGAACTGAGGGCTCACTGTGTGACAGGCAGGGTTGTATACACAACAGATGATGTTTTCAACAAAACAGACTGAAACCCTTGCCTTCATGGAGCTTCCATTCTAATGGGAGATGAGGACAGGGGCAACCAATGTCACATGTGAACAGGGATTCAGGGAAAGAAGTGAGGAGTAGGGCTTGCAGTTTCGTGAAAGGGTGGTTGGAGAAACCCTTGATGTGAAAGTGATATTTGAGCAAAGACCTGTAGATGGGGCGGGAGTGACCCATATCATTGTATTTTGGGGGAAAGAGTGCAGGCAGAAGAAACAGCAAGTGCAAAGGCCCTGGGGCAGGTGGGAGCCTAACCAGTTCAAGCAACAACAAGGGAAGCAGAATGGCTGAGCGGAGCAGAAAGGGAGAGAGCTATAGGAGAGGGATCGGGGAGCAATGGGGGTGCTCCAGGTTGAATGGGAACTTGCAGTTCATTGACAGGGGTTTGACTTTGACGCTGAGATGGGACCAATTGGGGGGGTTTGGGCAGTGGATGCTGGGAACGGCTTCTGTTTGATCAGCATCGCACTGGCTGCTGATGGACCTTTAATTAACAGGTGGAGGGACGAAGAAGAATGGAAGTAGGAGATCTGGGAGGGGGCCATGGCAATCATCTAGGTTTGTGTGATATTTACATCCTCCAACTATTTATCATGAAAATATCCAAACAGAGCCACGTTGAACTTTACAGTGAGTATCTGTCTACCCAGGATGCTGGTTCTGTTTCGAAAGAAGAATCAGTGGGATTCGCTGAGCCTGCAGGGGCCTATGAGACATCTCGGGGAAGTAACCGCAGACAGTTGGGTATTTCGATCTGGAACCAAAACTGCAGCCCAGGTCGACCCCCTCACCCCAGGCTCAGAGAGCCCATTTTTTTCTAAAAGGGTTATATGTTAGGGACACTCTGCTAGTCAGGTGGGACCTAACCTTCCTGGGTCATAAATCCAATAAACTATGAACAGAAAAATGCACAGAAAATTATAAACAATTGCAGGGAAATCATGGATATAGACCAGTGATGGCGAACCTTTTGAGCTCGGCGTGTCAGCATTTTGAAAAACCCTAACTTAACTCTAGTGCCGTGTCACATATAGAAATTTTTTGATATTTGCAACCATAGTAAAACAAAGATTTATATTTTTGATATTTATTTTATATATTTAAATGCCATTTAACAAAGAAAAATCAACCAAAAAAATGAGTTCGCGTGTCACCTCTGACACGCGTGTCATAGGTTCGCCATCACTGATATAGACAATGAAAGACGTAAGATGTAGTCTGTTCCACGCCCTCAAAAAATGTCCATTTAGCAGAATCCTTGTGAGTAAACATGACTAGTTTCTGGCGAGCCTCTGAAGACCCTGAACCTCACAGGTCTTCCCTCCAGGGTCCCAGAGACCCCATCCCCCTATGCTTGGCCACAGGCAATGGTAGGAGCAGAGCGGTGAGGAAGGTGCTGCATGACTAAATGCCTGTAACCTGGAGGCTGCCCCTGAGTATTGTGAGGATCAGGGCCCCACGGCTGGTGCCAAAAAGAGGCTCAAAGCTGAGCGAACCTTCCAGCCAGGGTCTGTTCTGAGCGATGCTCCCCAAGGCAAGGGACAGGGGAATGGCACCCGGCTGGGTTGGAGCCTGGGCCTGGCCGGGCCTCAAAGCTTTGAGGTCAGGAAATCCGGAGACAGAGGAGGGGGACATCGTTGCCACATCCCCCAGCCCCTTTAAGACCCTCGGGGCAGGAAGGCTGCCCAGCCTCACCAGCTTCCCTCCCAGGCTCCTTCCTGGGAGGAAGGGGCTGCCTGCGCCGCAGCAACAGGGCAAGGGAGGGAAGGAGGCTGGGCAGGTGTTGCAATCCACAGCCCCTGGGTCTGTCAGAGGCCAGGAGCCACTAACGACAGGCTGGGGAGAGAAGTCAGACGCGCCGTTTTCAGGAACTTGCCTGCAGAAGAGAGCGGAGACCCGGAGGCCAGGCGGCGGCTGGCTGCGGGGCTGCAGGCTCCAGGGTGAGTAGGGGAGCCTCAGGGAGAGCTGAGCCTTGGCTCTGATTGGGGCTTGGAGTGCAGAGGCCATCCCCTCCCGCCCACCCCGCCCCCCAGCTCTGCCAAGTGCCAGTATTCAGGGCCCCGAGGCCTGGGACCAGAGCTTCTGCCTTTAAGGTTTGTCCCTTGGACCAGGGACCCTAAACACTGAGTCTCTTTTCCCAGAGATGTCCCCGCTTGGGGGTGGGCATTACAAACAGCTGGGCTCAGGGAAGGGCCTCCTTGTTAGCCCTCTCAGGCCTCTGCCTCTCAGCGGTGTGTCTCCACCTCTCCCTGTCTCCACCTCCGACTATTTCACTCTCCATTTCTCTTCCCCCCCCAGCACTCTCTGGCTTGCCCGGGGCTCCGAGCCTCTCTCTGCCTCTCTCTGTCTCTCACGTTTCCCTGTCTTTAAATCTTAAACTCTCGTGGGTATCAGACTGCTTCTCAGCCTCCAAGTGCCTCAGTCTCTCTGTGTCAACACCCTTGTCTCTTGGGCTCGTCTCTCCCTGACTCTCAGCGGCTCCCCTGCCTGACTCCCCTGCCTGACTTTATCTCCATCGTGTGGGTCTGCCCTGCGTAACTTCACTTTCTTACTCTTTCTGCCTCGATCTCTCTCCGAACCACACCTGGGAAGGCCTCGCCCTCTGTTCGTTCCCAGCGCCCTCCTCCCTCTCATCCTCCTGCCATAGAAACACCGCCAGGTGAACTAGAGTAGAAAGAACAGGGAGAGGGCGGGAACTGGAGAAGGTGGAGTGGAGGGAGAGGAGAGGGAAGCGGAAAGAGGGGGTGTGATGCAGGGCTCCCGGGGGCAGCGGGTGTGCTGGGACCCAGAAAGAGCCAAAAGTGCCCAGCGGAGATGGCTGGAGCGAAAGGGGGGCCAAGGAGCTGGAAGTAGGGGACCCAGAAAGGAGGCCTTGAAGCCATGCAGCATGACACAGACAAAGCAAGGTGGCCGTCCCAGGCGGCGGTGACCACGCAGCCTGCAGGCGGGAGAGGCGCTGAGCCCTCCTGTGTTCCATGAGGGGGTGAAAATAACTTGGTGATTGAGTTCTTTCTCCTGGCGGCTCCGGCTCCACGCCAAGTGTTTTTATCAGGGTCGTCTTGTTTCATCCTCACCACAACCCTGAGAAGAGGATGCTGTTCTTATCCCTCCTTCACAGATGCGGAGACTGACGCTCAGAAAGTAACTTGTCCAAGGTCACCAGGCTGGTAAGTGGCCAAGCTGTGGTTCAGACCAGCTGGTCTGACTCACAGCTGGGCTCCCAAGCTCTCTGTACACTGACCCCAGGAGAGGAGCCCATGTTCCCACAGGCCCCAGTTCTCACTCACCGGGGCTGGGAGGCACCCGGGCTGCCGTGGGGGACCAGGGACCGATGCCAGGGTCCCAGTACCCAGCAGCCCAGCGGGGAGGATGACTGGCCTCTTGGGGTTTGGGGGTTGGTTGCCCACTCTGAGCATGAGCCAGTGGTGAAGTGGTCCCTCACCGGGCACAGGCTGGGCCTGAAGCTGCCCCTGCTAGGGCAGCAGGGCTGGGTAGCACATGGAGATGGACACCAGTGTCCCAAAACCTGAGCCAAAGAGGATAAATCTTCCCCCAACAAGTGTGTGTGTGGGGGGGGGGGGAGCAAACCAATGTGCTCTAGGAAGAAGGTTGCCAACCACTGAGTGGGGCGCTCTGAACAAGCTGTACACAACGCTACAGGGCTGAGGGGCAGGCGGAGGCTGAAATCCAGCTTGTTCTCCAGTTACCAGGTCCTAGTACGGGCTGCGTCCAGATTAGAGGGGAAAAAAAGTAACTCATGGGCTAGCCACCTGGTATCCCGATACTGTGACTATGTGGGGAGCCTGGGGGTCTTAAGGCCCTACAAGCGGAAAGAGCCTTGGGTATCTGGGCAGTTGTTAGTCACACCTCTGTGTGGGAGGGAGAGAAGCCCTCGCCCTCCTGAGCACAGAGGATCTGCTGGGCCACCACCTATGTTTTTATGAATGTACGTGCTGGCTGGTCAGCGATTCCCACTGACCTGCCACCAAGTGTCAGTTGGTGCTGGAGGGTCAGGTGTCTGGCCCCCAGACCCCAACGGGACCAAGTGGAGGGTTAGGCTGGAAGCCCACCCCGGCATCCTTCCTGGGAGGGGAACTAATGCTCCCTCCACCCAGGCACTGTCGCCGGGGGAACATCTCTGACACTTCTGGCATGACTCACCCAGCAGAACCTGCCTCACACTCATGCATGTGCAACCTGGATGTGCCAGGCAGTTAATACCCCAAGGGACATCCCTTGACCAATGGGGACGGGAGTCGGTGCATAAGTGTTCCCACCCTCCCTCCCGTTCAAAGGGTAAACTGTCCCTTGGGTGGACAGTTCTGAGGCATGTACACGGCTCCTTGGAAAGTTCCAGCAGGATTGAATCCTAGTTGTCCACAGAGGTGACATGTCCTTGTGTTGGCTTTCCTTTCTTACCTGTTTCATTCTCCCTACTCCCTTGCTCTGTTCCTGGGATCTTCCTAAAATAAACTGCCTGCATGCGAGCCTCATCGCAGGCTCCTCTTTGTGGGGGGAGGGGGAAGCCCAAGAAAGAAGGGCAGGGGGAATGCTGTTCCTTTCTGCTCCCTTCCCTGCTCACTCTGGAAGGCAGGACAATAATAACAGTGCCTGTCACTTACAGTCATTTCCCATGTGCCCTGTGCAGTAGTGTAGGCTGTTACCTCCATTTTACAGACAGAGAAACTGAGGCTCACAGAGGTCAAGTAACCTGGCCAAAGCCACACTGCGGCAGAAAAGCGTTAAGCTCCGCTCTGACTCTGAAGTCCAAGGCCTTAACCCGCCCCTCTGCTTCCAGGTGAACAGCAAGTTGGCACGATGGTGGTGGGGCTGGGAACCTGGAGCCTGGCCAGAGCTGCTCTGATCATCCTACTGCTCCCCAGAAGTGAGTGCGGCCGGTTGGGTGCTGTGGTGAGAGGGGAGCTGCAGGGAGAGAATTCAG